GAACACACACACACACACACACACACACACACACACACACACACACACACACACACACACACACACACACACACACACACACACAGGTCCTGTTGCTGAGCAGACCTTTGCTCAAGGCACAGATCAAGGCTGTTCGACTGAGGTTAAACAAGAAGAGGTTCATTAAATGCTCTGCAATAGACTGACCAGCTGAAGTTTGGTGACGAAAGTGGACGGATGTAGCACATTTGCAATTTACTTTCAAGAAACACCATCAAAAAAATTTGTCATACACAAAAAATATCAACACAAAACATTTTTAGAGGAATGGCATGGAAGGACTTTTTTTTTCTTTTGCTTGTTTGGAACAATCAGAACAAAAATGTGTTGAAAGAATTGTTGCTCCTTTTGCAGACAGCCTGTCATGCCCTTTAAAATTAAATAACTGATGATCCCAGTTCAGTTCTCAAAATGTGCTTTCATACAACCTTGAGACTCAATGCCAGCCAAATTGTTTCTGAGCAGAGGTAAATAATTCCTGTAAAAACAGTCTTATGTGTATGCCTTTATCAAGGCTGTCAGGAAACATCTTTTACCGAATAGATGAAAATCCAATGATGGGTATAAAATGGGGTTAGGACACTGATAAATATCCTTGGTGATCTTAACAGGATATTCTGGCGTAAAATTAAGTTAGGGTCAAACACACCGTAGCACAGAGTTAGACAACCCCGCGAGAGATGAATGATGCCAACTGCTTGCTTCTCCAGTTATACCAACTATAGTAACGACTGCAGATAGCAATACAGAAAGCCACACGCTCAACCAAAACGCCACTCTATAGCCACAAATAACACTCAGAACAGCACCTAACTTCATCAGCAGTACATATAGGGTCCCAGCCACAGTACTAGCCGACAAAAATCTTTTTAGCTTTGATGTTAGGTGTTTGATTTCTTGAGCAAAGATACTAAACACGACTCACCTACTCTCTTCCTGCAGCCACTTGTTTGTACAGAGGCCTCCAGGTGAGTCCATGCAAAATGATTAATATAATGAATATCACTTCAAGGAAATGATAAAGTAACGCTCATACTTGCCCAGAGGTCTCTGTACAAACAAGTGGCTGCTGGAAGAGAGTAGGTGAGTTGTGTTTAGTCTCTTTGCTAAAGAAATTAGGGAAAGCCAAAAAGATGTTTGGTGGCTAGTGCTGTGGCTAGGACCCTATATGTACTGTAAATGAAGTTAGGTGCTGTTCTGGCTATAGAGTGGCATTTTGGTTGAGCATGTGGGTCTCCGTCTTGCCATCTGCGGTCGTTAATATAGTTGGTATAACTAGAGAAGCAAGCAGTCGGCAACATTCATATCTCGACGGGGTGTCTAACTCAATGTTACGGTGTGTTTGACCCTAACTTAATTTTATGCCAGAATATCCCTTTAACCTTGAATATCTGAATGCAATGGTCCACTGTGCCATGGATCTATAACAGAACATTTAATGGCCTCAGATGGTCAGCCGCTATGTAGTAGTTGGTTTACAACGATAAAACAAAGTCTGCTATAATTGCTATAACATTGAAAAGTTTTGACCCGAGAAACTAACGTGTACCGTGCAGCCCAAAAGTCTGCTTGCCAGTAACCTTTGTAAAAAGCGGTTAAATATGACAGCAGAAAGACAAATCTTACCTGGTGATGAAATCATATGAAGAGCATTTGCTGAGATCCAGCATTGGCGAGCCCAAGCTTGATTTATTGAACCATAACCTCCCTGTAAATTCGGAAAGTGACAGAATAAATGGGTATTGTCAAATAAGAACAGCAGATTGCTTTGTGAGAAAACGTTGGCATTTTGATGTTATCGTCATCATATCAGCATTGGCTTATATCACCAGTATCTCTTGTAAATTAAATATATTATATAAACTAAGTTATGGTATGTAAAACAACATGGTTTGTCATGTTGCTTTAAAGTATGTTTGATGTTTGTTTTGGCAGCCCATTCTCATTTGTTGTCTCTGTAACCATAATAACCTAGAGCTAGTACATTCTGGGAATCTGAAGTAGAGAATGCCATGTGCAGTGATCAGCTACAGGCATAAACTTTCAGTTGTCAGCTTCGCCTGCTTCACCTTTCTTTTTCTCCTTTCTTGGCTAAAGCAACGTTTGTAATTATTCTTCAGCATGAAACATCAAGTCTTTACTCATTTGAAATTCATCGCTATGCTGTTATATTAGCCAAGTTTGTAAGAGTTTTGTTTTATAATACAAATAATTTACTGTATTGTGCTGCAGTTTCACAAATGTCTCTCAAGTAAACTTCATGGAGGTAACAAAGCTGTGTCCTCGAGTTTCTTGGGAGTGTTGAGCTGAGCAGAACATAGTCCATGACATAGTTTGATGTTTATTTTCTTTTTTATTTGTAACACAATATTTACCTTGTATTTTTCATCTTTTTTTGATAAATTCAGATAGCTCGATGAAAACGCAGGAGTCTCTTCCCACCAAGCATTTTTTGGTCTAAAAGAGGTCTAATAGACGTCTAAATGTAGCCTAGATGACTGTTCTAAAATCAGGCTACCGGAAGTCTAAAAATGAAAGTTTTTAGACATCTAAATTTAGACCAAGTTTAGACTAGCCGGCTAACAGAGGTCTAACTGTATATTCCTCATAATTATTTTATTAGGTACTTGGAGGTCAGTTATGCAACTCACAGATGCTTTTTGAAATAAATAGATATCGAATAATGGGTTAAAGTGCAACATTTAAATTCTGTCTAAAAATATACAGAATCTAGACGGTTGAAAATAGGTCTAAAAAAAACGAGACGTCTGCTCTCCTGCCTGTCCCTTTCTCTCTCTCTGGTCTCACTGAGCTCATCTAAACATTTTTACCAATGCTTTTTTTTGTTAAGACTTTGATTGAGAACAGTGTCTGTGATCTTTTTCTTGAAATTTTTGCTTTTGTGTTGTTGTGTGAGTCTTGTTGATCATTTTAATCGGAAAACTGTGTCTTATTTCTGTTCCGTGTGTTAGAGAGTTAAGAGGTTTCTGCAGTAACTGTGTATTTTAGTGTACGTAGCTTGAAAGCCTCTCTTCCGCTTGTTCCATCCAGCTAGCAGCGCAGGGATTTCATTACCGTTTAGCATGACGTTACAACAACAGAGGATCTAGCGGCAGTCGTATTTCGTACCAGGTAAAGTTAAGTACACATCGTCAATGCGTCAGGGTCGACTGGAGAGGTGAAGCTTAAGATGAAACAAGCCAGTAAAATGGTAAAAGAGAGGGAAACATTGCGGGAAAATACTCTGCACTAACTGCGAGCAAGAATAGCGAAATAAGCATGGGAGAGCTGTCCTCTGTGTTTTGTGCCATGCCTACACACAAACCAGTGAAGAAACAAATCCAGTTTGTGGAGGACAAACTGGATCTGCCTCCCAAGTCTGTGCAGCCGCAAGTCTGTGCGCTCAGGGAGGAGTAGGTGGTTTAGAGGACCAAGAAAGAGCAGTCAGGAGGCTTAGAAGGAAAGCACAGTGACACACACTCACAAGCGTGGCAAGGAGTTCTCACTCCATTTAACTTTTCTGTTTTGTCCCCACAGGATTTTTTTTTAACCAGCATGTGTTGTTTTTTTGTTGTTTTAGTTTGGGCTGGAGACCTCCAGTAGTCCAGTTTTTAACTCTTTATTTAACCTAGTTTCTAGTTTTTATTTATTTCAGGGGAAATACTGACATGACGGTCCATTTCGCTGCTGGGTCAGCACCTTTCCCTTTTTGTTTCTTTTGGCAAGGGTCGTCAGCTCCTTTTGTTTGGCAGTACTTATCAGTTACAATTTTGGGAAAATAAAGCCTGCGGGGTCAACCGTTCATTCATTTATGGTGTCTTTTTCTTTTTGCTCATATTTTATGGCCCCTATTTACGAGCCATTTGATTTATTTGGGTTACGGAGGCCGTAACACTGATCATCTAGTAAAGGAATGAGGCACAACGCCACATCTCAGGTACATCATAAATACATGGCCTCGATTTTACAAGCATCTGCTCTGATTCATTCAAACATCTTTATCAACCGCCCTGTTGCTTTAAGAAAGAAATATACAAATGGGAATCAATGCCCTCTCAAATGCTATAATCATTCTTAATATTTAGTTGATACACTTAAATCTGGCTGCATCAGATGTGTTTGTATCCAGTGGCATAACGGTGTCATTGATCCTTGATGGTATTAAGAGATTAAGAGGTTCCCTGCCCTCTCTGTGTTGTTGACAAGCCTTGTGACTCATTATGCCCATTAGCATTGAGCTTGCTCATCAATAAGCACTTGGCTGATCCATCAGTCTTCTTGAGATGTAGCCCAGGGGACGCCGCCATAGGTCCCTGCCAGCTCTGAGAGTCTAAGAGGGGCTGCATGAACACCCTTGTTCTGTTGGGTGGCCACACAAACACACACACAGACATGTTCACATGCCCTGCTGTTTGACAGGGAAGTGTCACAGCGAGCCCTTCTTCCTCAAGTTCTTTGTTGATGCTGCTGTAAGTGTTGTGTCTGTGTAACCACTTCTGCTTGTCAGCATGTTAGTGTTTGTGGTGCGCTCCTGTTTGTCAGTCTGCTTTGTCTTGACTTGATCACTGAGTCCTTGAATGTGTGTATGTGTGACTGTGTGGGAGTATATGTGTGTTTAAGAGAAAAGACAGGAAGTCTCACCAAGTTGGTGTTTTTTCCTCTGTCTGTCAACTTCAGTAATGTCTGGTACAGTATTTTTATTTAAGGATGCCATGTAGGTGTTGGTATATGTATGTGTGCATGACAGTGTAAGTGTCGGGTATGGCAGTGTCAGTGTCAGTCAGTCCTCTCAGCATGAGAGGATGCAGTGTCAGTGTGTGACAGCCAGCCTAGTCTGATGTGATAGGGTGCCAGAGTGAATGACAATGTCTCTACTTAGAAACCTGTATGTCATCTTAAAGAGGGTGAATCTCTGAGGCAAAGTCAAAAATAACAGACATGAGAGTAGACATCAGGGGGTGTCAGAGTTCATTATGGAGGGCCTTCCCTTCTGCATGGTCCAGAGCTCCCACCAGCAGCAGAGCTCCAGAAGAGTTGTCTCTCACAAAGATAATGAAGAGGTGATCAGCATAGAACAGTTTGGGCTTCTCTATGTGTTCCTCCTCAAGCTCTGCTGCTCCTTCTCCAGCTTGAGCAGTCAGCTCAAGAGAAGCCCACTGTAGGACTTCACCCAAGTACAGCTTCCCCTTGCTTTTCTGTGACATTCCAGAGAAATCAGCCGACTTCTGGTCCCAGGTATCAGTCAAACCCAGAGTGGATAACTGTGTCTGGAATCAGGAAAAAAGGGAAGAGTTAAGTTTATAAATTACCTGGAAACTTTTTTAATCTTTCAGCCATAATCATAGGGACATCCTGGGAGAACAAGTAGCTGCCAGGATGCTGATCAATTATGCACGCAAGCCAACCTAACAACAAGTGGGAGGCAAAGCAGTTTAAAAAATTCATGATGCTATGACCTTCAGAAGTGGGGGATGGTCCCTGCCCTTCCCAAACTGGAGTAAACTCTAAATATGCCCTACTGAGAAGTCAGTCAGACCCTTTTCTGCAGGAGTTTTTCACAATGTTTATTTACAATACATACCCAAAAATTTCAAATGGAAAAGACTATGACAGGTGCCCTTGTTGCAAGATGGCAGAACAAAGTAGGCGACAGGCAAGGAAGATTCAGAAGGAGGATGCAGAGGATGAATAATTTAAGAGTGATGCCCCGTGACCTCAGCACCTCCTTTGTTTTGCCTCTGGTACGAATTCCACAGAAAGTCGTCGGCATGACAGGTAGTTTATCCTCCAATGGCAGAGGGCCGCTCACAGTGACAGGCTTCTCCAAGGGCCACATGAGAGTGTGTGGGTGTGTGACTGTGTGAACCTGCATGCACAGAAGGCCACAGCGTGAAGAAAAGTTGCAGAGGGAGATGAGTGGATGAAGGTTTTGTTTCCAAGCATTGTTTAGAGTTCAGCTGATTAAACTCTTGATTAGAAATATCTCCCCAGAATCACTCAGATGGTTTGTTTACTTGAATGGAAATGTTCTGTGGGTGCTGCCTGGCTGACTTTGAATGTTTTCTTTCCAACACCAGGCTGTTAGAGCTCTGCTGATTTCACAAAAGCATATGCTAAAGGACAATTGTTATGATCGTTTAAGAGTGTCTGCTTTTTTGCTGAAGGCTTGAGCTGTTCAAAAAAAGGGACATTGAAACTGGATCATGCCAGCTTATGCTTAAACATGAAATAAGTAGCTGTACATACAGGTGTAGGCATCTGTCATTCCCATTCCGAGGTTTTCATGCAAAGCTCCCCTCCACACAGACACACACATTCCACCTCCTGCTCTAATGCATTTCTATTGTTCTCATCCATTATTTCTCCTCTGTTCTTCTCTCCTTCCACCCTCTACCACTACATCACTGTCTTCCTCTGCTGCTCTGCCACTTGCCTGGCATCCCCATTTCTCATCTGCCCCACGTGCCTCTATTTTATCCCACTCCGTCTCTTTCTCTGTGCTCCTAACTCAGTCTTTTTCCTCCCTGCCTCATCCTTTATGTCTTTGACAGGCCAGTTCGCCCCCACATACAGCTCGCTCTCTCAACTTCTCAATCTCCATCGGCAATCATTTGGAGGTTTTTTTGCTCCTTATCTAACAAGGAAACAGAAACAGGCTTAGGTGGCAGACTCCTGAAATTGTTGAAGACAAATGTGTGTGTATGTGTGTGTGTGTGTGTGTGAAGAAAAGCAGCTGGTTTCTGGCTCTCCATGAAAGTCATGTCCATCCTTCCTCAAGTTTCTCACTTTTACTCGCAATACAAGGAATAAAAATCAAAAATCTTTTGACTGAAATTTTTTAACCTACAGAACAAGTTACTGTACCATGTAAATTAAGGCATTTAGATGACTCAGAAAAAGCCTTTATATTATCAAAGCAGCAGGACCGCCTTCCAGAGGCTGCCATGTCACACCGCTATGTTTACAACAGCAGCTCAGAATGGACAAACTAGTACAAAGTTTGGACAAACATGTTTTCTAAATTACAAAGTGGTTCTTTGAAACACATGTAGAAAAACAGAGAAGACAGTGAGATTAATTGTTCTGTGTAAATGAATTTGTATTGATAAAGTGTTTGATTGTGAAAACCTGGCAGATGGAGAATCATACTTAACATGCGTCACAGGAATGCAAATCCTAGTACATCCGAATTTCTATTTAAAAAAATACAAGAAAAAACCTGAAGCCACAATTGGAGAGCGGGAGAGGCTGAAAAAACAGCCTCTTACTAAGCTGTAGGTGTTGCCTCCAGTGTTGCCAGATCTCCTGAGCAACCAGCTCTATGAAAACAAGCCCAACATAAGCCCAACAGGCAACCTGCCACATTGTGTAAAACATGGACCGCTGATTAATGGTAAAAAATTTACAATTATTATTTTATTATTCATAAGCAACAGCAAAATTCTAACAAACACAGTTAACATAAAAAATTTCGATAACTTAAGTTCTTCAAATAAATTAAATACCCCCCGAGGGAGGAGGAGTCTTCCTAGGGGTGTCTGCATGTGTGTGTGTGTTTATGATGCACACCCGACACCTGTTGAGAAGAGTAACATCAATACCTGCTTTCATGTCAGAGTCTCCAAACTCCAGAAAAAGTCACCAGGCTCAAACCCAAAAAACTGCAACCCATGACTCACTAGTTTTACAAGCAACTTCTGAGATAAAACAAGCCCAAAGTCGCTTATAATGAGCAAACTTGGCAACTATGGTTGCCTCACAAAGATGGGAAACTGGTTGTCAGTATTCCCCTGAACAGGTAAGAAAACAATTATTCCTTCAAAGGTACATTAGTTTGGAGAAACATGAAGCCTGAATTATGTGAGTTAGTGCTGCTTTCAGAGATACTGCTAATGTTTCATCATAATGATGAGAGTCAACTTGAAGGCGACACCACACCATTCTTCTGACAGTAACACAACTGTGATGGAAAAGTTGAATCCCTGGGTTCCTTTGCTCTCTGTATTGTAGGAGCCTCTATGAAACCTAGGAATAGTACTACAAACCCCTCATGACAGAGCCCTCCTCTATCACTGCACCTCATTCTGATTGTCAAGGATAAAGCACCTGGTTAATTTTTATTGTTTTAAGGTTAAAACATGTTTAAAAATAAAAAGAAACTGTTTTTGCATGCTAGGAAAGAGGCCAAGGGTGTCAGAAGAGCCTACAGTACCCTTGTGCATCACAGAGATGTTGCACTGCATTACATGGGCAGAAAAAAAAACCTCTGGGAGGTGCTCTTTGGCTGCCCTTTCTTTCTGTAGCACCACATGAATCTTGGATGGAACTGCACTGGGCAAACTGCTGATGCCTCGCACACAACATCAGCAGGCGATTTGTCTGCAAGTGAGAGCCACAGGCATTGTCAGCTGGTGGCTTCCTCTGTGTGTGTGTGTGTGTAGGGCTCACTTGTCCTACAGCAGTGCATTCTACTCAGGCCTGAGGTAGCATGGCATGAACCCGCAGGCATGCAACCGTCCACATCACATTATTTCAGCTCGATGGTTGAGTCCACTAAGTAGCTTGTTGGGAGTACCTGTTGGGGTTTTACGGGGATGGGTAGTGGCAGTCAGAACGTGTTACAGCTCTATGTGTGAGGAGGAGTGGCTGATGCTAAAACACAAAGCAGCATAGGAAGACTTAAGGAGAAAAAAAAAGGAGATTTAGGAGGAGAACAAGCAAAAGACTGTTGCTAAAATGGATATTTTCCTGTATTATCTGCTGCTCGTAGAAGATTTAGAGGTTATCAACTGCACATATCTCCCCTATCATAAAAATATGTGTTTTACAACCAAACTAGAAAAGCACTCGGAGAGCGCAGACCTCCGCCAAGCAGCTAATGTCCCCACTTATATTGTGATTCACACCAAAACTTTTACTGTTATGTGTCTTTTTATTAAGGAGGTTATGTTTTCGGTAGCATTGGTTATCTTTCAGCATTGAAAATTCCAACGACACCCTTATTTTTGTGTGTTCTGGATCACAGTATCCGGAATTTTGGCTGGATCAGGATCAACCTTTGACACCTCATAAAACTCATTGAGATCCTTTTGTGTAATTTTTTACTAAAGACTCTGGCCATTTTTATAGAGTTAAATGCAAAAATTCCAAAATTTGCCCTATCTCACAATGATAAAGAATCCTTCAAAAAATTTCTGGGTCCAGAAGGTGATCCGGATCACCACCAAAATTTAATGGGATCCTCCTGGGGCTGAGACACACCTCTGGTGAAAATTCCAGGTCAATCCGTCTGTTACTTTCGCCGTAAAGTTGCTAACAAACAAACAAACAAACCAACGCTACCAAAAACATAACCTCCTTGGCAGAGGTAATAAGAGCCCATGCCACACAAAGATCTTTTGTCACTAACTTTTTATAAAATTCCTGAAACACTTTGTATGGCAATTGTTAGTGCTGAGTGTTGTGCCTTTTTCAAATGTTTTATTACCTCCGCCAATGAGGTTATGTTTTTGGTAGCGTTGGTTTGTTTGTTTGTTTGTTTGTTTGTTTGTTTCTGCCCATACAAAGCTCCTGGACTGAGAGTAATGATTGGTTAGCCTACAGTGCTTTATATTCGGGCTGATCTCTTAAGGGGCTGGTGTGCTTTGTATCCTGGTTGGTGAAACTCAGTCATAAACCTGAAAACCAGGGTTAAACCTTGTGTTTCCCATCCCAGTTTTTGCTTTTTAGTACAAGTCTGATCAATTAATACCTTTGAGTGAATAGCCTAGTATTCATTCAAAGCAGGTAGTAAAACTCTGCTCACTGCCCACTGCTCTTGCACAGTTTACTCCTCTTGTTCCCTCTGGTTTATCAATCACACTGGCCAAATTAATCTTTTAAGCTGTTGCCACATTTAACAGCTACCGACAGTTCTGCTTAATTCAAAACTGCCCTGAACATCCTGCGTGGGTGGTTTCAAGTATGCAGTGTGCAGCACTGGCATCATCACAGCTCTATTTCAGGGCCGCATATGATGCAGGCTTTTAAAGAGAAAAACACCTCTCTTTCTATCAGCTCCCTTGAGCCTTCAAAGCCTCACCTCTCTTTATTAAGTCTCATCAGTAATACCACTACTGAAGTCTTATTTACAGGAGCTTTTATGTCTTTTCTGTTCAGTCACCCACATAAACACATAAACTGCTTTTTTAATCCATAAGGCAATTTGACCACAATTAAAAAGGAGAAAGAAGTTTAGGATTAGATATTTTACTCTTTTTACTATATTTTTTAATAGCCCCAACATACATGTGATTATTCAAAAGGATATGGGGCTGTGGGAGCAGTGTTAAAACAGCTGTCCCTGTGTACTGTATACTGTGGAGTGTGCTCTTGTAAATATTTGATGGCCTTTTGACCTCATTAGCCATGATTGAGTGAGCTCTCTGGTGCACACTCATATGTCTTAGTCACAGACTACAGATACAGCCAGAATGAAGCTCAAGCCTCACCATTAGTGTGTTTGTGTGTGTGGCCTGGTCAGCACTGGATCAGAGACAGAGGGGGAGAGCGATGAGGGTGGTTTATTTAGTGACCTCCGGGCCAGGCTTGTTAAGAGGGTTCTCCATCTCCGGCTGCAGACTCCAACACAGTCTGCCCTTCAGTAGAGGAGAACACAGCAAATAGTGAGACAAGAAGAAAGAAACTGGCAGAATTCTACCTCTAAATATAGTTCTCTGTGACTCTCCACCTTGTCCCCAAGCAATCATTGACCCTCCTCATCTTCCTCCACCTTTCTTGCTCACTTGCTTGCTGAATGTCACTCCTATGTGGGTCAACAAAGCCAATACGCACTCACTGAGTGATGGCGTATTACAGTCACATGTGAGACCTACAAAAAAGGAATTAGATCTCAGAGACTTTTTTGACAGAGAGGACAGAGGTGATGAAAGAATGGGTGTGTTTAGATGTGAAAAATCCATTCAAAGGCAAAGAGGTGCCTGATTTTGTTTGTTCTCATTTGCCTTATGAAGTGGACACTTGCATTGGGGCTGACACGTACCCACACACACTTCTATGATCTTCTGTTTGTCTAGATGCTGCCCTCTAATCTCAGGAGTCTATGGCCGCCCCAAGTACTGACAGACAGAGTGGTAAACAGCATTAACGCACAGTGATGAGCAATTATTTGCCTGACCCAATTGGAAAAAATGATTGTCAGAGAAGATATGGCGGGCCGTCACTGGCCAAATGAGTTGGGCAGACAGACAAAATGAGATTGGAGTGGGTTGAGGTTTGCTCAGAGCTTTAGCCCTTTCATAATGATTCCTCAAATGCACTTGTTTTTCTTGAGAGAGCAAACGGAGGGAGACGACTCGTGACTTGCAGAGACACAGAGGCCAAAACATTCAAGTGCTTTTCCATAATTAGGTTACATAATGAACCTAACAAAGTACATAATGAACAAAGTACAGAGACTTTTACTTATTTACAAGAGTAAAAGTTTTTTTCTTACGTCAGGCAAACTCTCCGGCAGACATAACAGCATTTGTATGCAACAGAATGTTTTCTGCTCTCTTCCCTGGCAAAGTCATGGCTGTGTCAAGGGGAGCTGTTTCAAGCTTTAGTTCTAGATTACAGCCTTCTCCCCAGAGTGTCCCGACAATGTTAATGTCAAAAGCTTGTTCTTCAGGGCATGGCTCGCAGGATAACGTGGCAGCACAACTCTACAGAGATGTTTGTTAAACTAAAAAGAGGGCAAAATGGATTTCATCAGTCCATGATGAGGTTACAATGTACATCTAAAGAGGATGTGGTAATAGGTTCCAGTCAGTGTACACTGCTCAGGGGGGATGGGTTTTACTGGCACGCCCTCTGTCACTGTCAGGTTCAACTAACCTTCTTCTCCATTTTTTTCTCTACCTGTGTCTTTCTCACTCTTTCACAAGTGTTTTTACCCAAAACTCCTCTAACTCTCTATGAGTCCAAAGGTGTGTTATGACTGAATGTAATGCAAATGTTTAAAGCGGTGTGACTGCATACAGATTCATGGGGAGGATGCATGGGAAGGCAAACGGAACAGAATTTAAAGCAAACTTGGTCAAATGTGCGCATTCTGGCTTTGTTTACAACCTAACAAATGATCTGTTTGATCTGCTGTGATCTGTGATCTGCTATGATCTGCTGTGTGCTGTAAAATACATCCCAACATGTATGCAACAACTGTGCACATAGACCTTAAGAGTCCAATTCAAGTCCTGATTGAGGACTCATGACTCAATTTGGACTCCCACACTGATGACTTACACTTGTACTCAGACTTTGTCCGCACCAGGACTCTGATGAGGGAGAAGAGGGCTGAAACTAATTAACTGATAATCGATTTTCTTTTTTTCTTTTTGGCTTATTTTCTAGATAATGCCAGTATAACTCATTCAGTTCAGAGCAGAACAGGGACTAACACTGTGTTGACCAGCCTGCATGTTCATGCAATCTTTGCTTTCAAAGATTTTACAGCAAACTCAAGTGCAGGAACATGTGCAAACTGTATAAGAACCATTGAGGGGAAGACCGGAACAGCCTCCCACTGAAACAGACATCTGTGCAGATGGACTCAGAGAAGTAAGTAAGATGAAAATAACCGCCCCGGTTGATTTTGGGAGTGTTGACAGGCCCGCAACTATGGCTGTGTCTCATTTCAGAGACCGCATCGGGCTAAGTGCACTTCTGCACCGTCGAACGGTGCATTTGAAGCGTGCATGACGTCACGACGGCACGAACGGTGTCCCATTTGGCACGAGATGCTAAGAAATGCTAAGCGTACTTAGCATTTTTTCAAGCTTGCATTTATGCACGCTTTCGTGCCGTCGGTATCCCAGAATTCTTTGCGTGCCGCTGCACAGCTGCGCATTTCAGGTGAGAGGCTGGACTCGCTTGGAGACACAGCGCGTCTTCAAAGAAAATACAAGAAATCCAAAAACAGCAGACAGTCAGCTCAGGCTGTATGAGAGCATGATCTCTGAACTCACTAAAATCTGTAAACCAAACATTATAGTATTTAGAGACGAACTGATCCGCTCTGGTTCAACAATCAAAAACATTAGAAATAAGAAAGCTGACAAAACTACAGCAGAGGATCAGGACAACATTGAGTTTTTTTTTGCTTTTAAGATTTAGAGATTAAAGTTGTAAATTTAGGAGAATAAAGTCATAAAGTAAATAAAGTCATAAAGCTGCTTTTGTGGAGGGGGAAATGACTGAAGCTGGTCATCTGCAGGGTTATCTGTGGATGTATAAGCGGGTCATTCAGAGAAATTTTGTGGTTTCTGAAGAAACAATCAAACTGATGATGATCAACATTTGTGATCCAGAGGGAGTCGAGCTCCGAGGAGCATCACGTCTCTGACACCGGCGGTAGCCTACACCTGCAGAGACACCAACACCTTATTATGGCATATGGATTCATATCATAAACTAAAGCTCAATGCCATTCACAGATATTTACGGCTGCATTGACAGATATATCCTCAGCATATTCATTTCTGCCTCCACAAAAGCAGCGATATCCTTCAAGTACACCAGTTTTTTTCCCCGTGGAAAAGAGGTATTTCTCATATATTCTTTTTTAAGTCTTTATACTTATAATGAAGTATCTCCTTGTTTGTGAAACCTATACTGAAGCACTGTTCCTTTAAATGTTTCATGGCCCTAATTTTAACAAAGTCTCCTCTGAAATAACAGGTTACGACTTCATTCTCATAAATTAATGACTTTATTCTCGTAAATTCACGACTTAAATCTCAAAGTCTTTAAAAAAAATTCTCAATAGGGCCCTCATACTCCTTCATACAAAACAATCATTAGATTAATTTTGTGGGAATGATCTGTGCTTGTATACATCTACTATTTTGTGTCTGTGCAAGGTTGCACAATTAAAACAATACATACTGTGCTCCGCAGCTTTTTTTCTAGTCAGTCGTGATGTAAGCCTGAGGGCGGAGACATTTGGAGACTTTCGGAGGACTTCCTGGTGGAGTCGCCAAATGTCCCCGCCCTCAGGCTCACGTCACGACTGACTTAAAGAAAACCCGCAGAGCGCAGCATTTATTTTTTAATTGTGCGACCTTGCACAGACACAAAATAGTAGATACATACAAGCACAATTCATCCAATGATTGTTTTGTATGAAGGAGTATGAGGGCCATATTGAGATAGAAGACTTTAAAGACTTCGAGATTTAAGTCGTGATTTTACGAGAATAAAGTCATTAATTTATGGGAATAAAGTTTTAAAGTTTCCTGTTATTTCAGAGAGACTTGTTAAAATTAGGGCCATGAAGCATTTGAAGAAACTGTGCTTCAGTATAGGTTTCACAAACAAGGAGATACTTCATTATCTGGCACATCAGCATCACATTGTCAAAAATATAAAGACTTAAAAAAAGAATATATGAGAAATACCTCTTTTCCACGGGGAAAAAAAACTGCTGTACTTGAAGGAAATCGCTGCTTTTGTGGAGGCAGAAATGAATATGCTGAGGATATATCCGTTTATGCAGCCGTAAATATCCGTGAATGACATTGAGCTTTAGTTTATGATATGAATCCATATGCCATAATAAGGTGTTGGTGTCTCTGCAGGTGTAGGCTACCGCCGGTGTCAGAGACGTGATGCTCCTCGGAGCTCGACTCCCTCTGGATCACAAATGTTGATCATCATCAGTTTGATTGTTTCTTCAGAAACCACAAAATCTCTCTGAATGACCCGCTGATACATCCACAGATAACCCTGCAGATGACCAGCTTCAGTCATTTCCCCCTCCACAAAAGCAGCTTTATGACTTTATTTACTTTATGACTTTATTCTCCTAAATTTACAACTTTAATCTCTAAATCTTAAAAGCAAAAAAAAACTCAATGTTGTCCTGATCCTCTGCTGTAGTTTTGTCAGCTTTCTTATTTCTAATGTTTTTGATAGTTGAAGCAGAGCGGATCAGTTGTCTCGAAATCTATAATGTTTGGTTTGCAGATTTTAGTGAGTTCAGAGATCATGCTCTCATACAGCCTGAGCTGACTGTCTGTTGGTTTTGGATTTCTTGTATTATCTTTGAAGACGCGCTGTGTCTCCAAGCGAGTCCAGCCTCTCACCTGAAATGCAAAGCTGTGCAGCGGCACGCAAAGAATTCTGGGATACCAACGGCACGAAAGCGTGCATACTAGGGGTGTGAATCTCAGCACTGAGGACGATTTGATACGCATCTCGATGCACTGCCAGCGATACGATACTTTAACGATACATGGAATTTTCTGGCGATACGATGCGATACGATTCACCCTCTTCATGATGCGATACGATAATCATTTAGTTCAAATCAATGCGATCCGATCCGATATGATGCAATTTGTTGCGATATGATGCAATTCAACATGATGCAAATAAGCAAAGAAAAAAATAAAATAAAACAAAAGATGGAATTCAGTATGGTACTACAAAAATGATTTGGCCTTATTCCTTAAAGGCACTTGGCAGTAAATTCAACAAAAGTGCTTTTTGTCTTTTTTCTATGCTCCTTTGGGTTCCATTTTGTACAGTTACACAGATTAGACAGACCTCCTGCAACTGTTAAGGAATCTGAATCAATAAAATAAAAAAAAATAAAAAATAAAAAAGGATTCCAATCCCAACCCTACATCACACAAGTGCTCTATACTTGTTGGGTAATATTACAGTACACATTATTAAACAACTAATGCACTGCCTAACATGGTGCAAATAAACCATTCAATGGCCATACTACTGTCTGCCAAACCAATGTGCTAGAGTTGACTTTCTAACTGGTCACTGAAAATCAGTGCTTTGAGTGAGTTCTGCAATAATAAAAGAGTAAAACAATTACACAATAATTACTGCTGTAAAAAGTACAGTAAACAGCAACAACAAAACACTCTCAATGAGTAACCTAAAGTGACACTTTCAACAGTGCAATCAATGTTAAGGGAGGGGAGGTGGCGTTAGACTTGTCGGTGATGTGGTGTACTCTTTTTAAGTGGGTCTGCATGTTTGTCGTGCTGCCATTGTACGGCTTCTTAACGCGGCATTCTTTGCAAATAACGGACGTTTTGTCGAGCTTTCCGTCTTTCTTTGCAAATCCGTAGTGTTTCCAAACATATGATTTAAACGTAGCGGGTGCATTACATATAAACTCTTCCTCGCTGCTGCTCACTTGAACGTGGTCCATGCTGTTTTACTAGTAGTGCATTGTATGTCCCTCACGGCTTCCGTCCGTATTCAATACAAAACGCGAAATAATGATGGTGCATTCACATGCGCATCGATGCATCGATTAATTTAGATTATTTTCCACACCCTTAGTGCATACATGCAAGCTTGAAAAAGGGCCGGGGGTAGTGTGGTTTTGAGACCGAATTTGAAGCGCGCTTAGTATTTTGTGCCAAACGGGACACCGTTCGTGCCGCGTGATGACCTCACGCACGCTTCAAATGCGCCGTTCGACGGTTGCGGTCTCTGAAATGGGACACAGGAAGGGTACATAACGGCGCAAAACGGCACATAACGGCACAAAACAGCAGTGCACTCAGCTAAGCGCGCTTCTCCCGATACGGTCTCTGAAATGAGACACAGCCTATGTTAGCAACTGTAAAGTGATTCAAGCACTAGGTCCAACAGTTGAGTCGGTAAAAATTCGGATTCATAGTGGGTGGGCCGCAGTGATCACACCTCAGTGCAACCAATAAGTACATCTCCAACTAAGAGAAGAATAGTGGGTATCTACATGCAAAACAACAATTTCAATTTCCAGGACACAAAAGCAGGATCAGTCTGAATCTAATGTAAATGAATAAATGTCTTTTCATTATTAAAAAAAGGTCCAGGTTGTCTTGGTTGACACAGAGAATAAATTGGGGTGAAACATCAGGACCTTTAATGATAAATAATGATACTAATATTGTTATTAATAATAATAATGAGAGCTCAATTCAGACTAATAGTCAGATAATAGGGACTCAGCTCAGATTCTTCTCTGGTGGCTTGAACTTGGAAGACTGAAGACTCAACCTGAAATCAAAGTTTGGTGGTCCAGTTATAAGTCTGTCACCTAACTTTTTCTTAAATGAAAATCACTGTTTCTATGTGTTTGGCTAACATCAATCTGCTTACACTTCAACAACCACACTTCACTCACCAAACAAAGCAGGTTTCATCTCTTACTTTAATATGACAGATAAAAAGACTTGAATAAGATATCACCAGATGATCCATTACTTGGAGGGGAAAATCGAAGACTCTGCGGGCTTATGTGGTCCGACTAACTCTGTTTCCAGATCAAATCCTTGCTTTTTCACAACAGAGACAACATTACAACCTTCTAATCAGCAGCTTTCTATTTAAACTGAACCTCTACAACCCCCACACAACAACATTAGCATTAGAAGCCACCCAGCTGTTGCCTGTTTGCCTGCTGTTCCTATTGGCTTTCTCTTTCTGACTCAGACCAGCTACCTGCTGGCTCTGGACTTAACAAGAGCACAGACAGAGCCAAGCTGCCAGCAGGGCTGTGGTATGACCTTTGTGCTCCAGCAAAAGCAGGGCCATGGGAGGTTTTAAAGCTACATGTCGTGGTCGTCTTCAAGCCCCTCTTGGCCTTCTATCAGTCAGTGTTAAACTCCCTGCTGAAGACCGTTACAGCTCAATGCTGTGAATACAGCTGGATGTCCATCATTCCAGCCAAGAGACGAGAACTGCAGGAGTGACATTTGAACTCACTGGAGTTGGAGTCTAGAATGAACTAGATGGGGCTAAAAAAGGCCACTTGTTCAGCTGCTACAAGCTCCAAGGAGGCAGAGAAAGAGACAAGAAACCGAGGTTAAGTGAAGAATGCATCTAAGGAGCAGAGGAAGAAATAACATGAGAAAAACACTGCACTGAAGCAAAACAACAAGACGCACATACTAGGGGGGAGGAGGTGACAGGGCAAATAGGATGGAGTAAAAATATTTGAATGAAAAAAACTGCAGCCAGAAGAAAAAAATACACAGTAACCCCAAAAGCAAGATACACCACATGCAAATAAATGAGAGGAGGTGGCCAAATCAGAAGAGAATAAAGAAAAGCAGATGTAAAGCATGGGTACATGAAATAAAACAAAGAAAAGAATGAAGAGAAAACTACAGTTGAGGCTTTAAACAGGATTCCTGTAATAAAATGTTACCAGTGTGTAATGAAGCTGAGCAAGCACATCTCCTCTGCCCAATCATAAATATCTGATAAACCAGGAGATCACTTCATTCTTTTGTGCTGAGGACTGAAATAGGGGACAGTGACTTGAACCCATACTTGCTTCATTGTCAATCAAACCATCAGAAATGCTAATGTTTTTCTCTAAATGCTGTAATGGTAAAGTGCCAGAATCCTGGGCCATTTTGAATAATCTCAGATTTTAATTGATCCCTACAATAGTCTACATGTGTGGAATATTTTCTTTCTGCTGCTCCATAACAGTATTCAACAGCATCATGCTGTCACCATGGGTGTTGGCTAGATGGCATCAGTTGCCAGTAAGTACAAACTAGGGCTGCACGATGTATCGTTTGAGCATCGTCATCGCGATGTACGTGTGTGCAGTAGTCACATCACAGAGCCTGCGATGTCTGAGGTGAATGAACTCAGTTAATTTCAAGGGTAGCTGACTGAGATACACTGCATGTGACTCTGCATGTGCTTTGCAGCGATCCACCAATCACCTTCGTTCTTTACTCAGTTGCCAATCAGACTACCCTGCCAGCTGTCAATCAAAATCAGAGAGGAGGAAACCCACCCCTGCACATGGAGTGAGTCGCTGGCGCGACCGGAGTTGAACCAAGAAACGCGTGTCCGCTGAGAATTACTTTCATTCTCATCACTGTTTAGCCCAACAAATAAGAACTGTATGGGTTTAAATTGTACATTTCCGTGGACCACTCTACTTTAAGCAGTGCGCGTTTTGTGAGGTGCTTGCAATTCTCAGAGGACATGCGTTTCTCAGCACAACTCCAGTAACAACAACAACAACAACGATCGCAAACTGAGCAACAAACAGAGAAAACCACAGAAGATGAAGTCTTGTTACCAAAAAGAAAAGAAAAGTCAGTTATCTGGAATTATTTCGGTTAAAAGAAGGATGATGTCGACCAAAACACGTCTTCTGTGTTCATCTGTTGCCACAATAACATCCCAGCACAATAAAAGCTAAAAATATCTCTGAGACAGACAAAAGCCGCTCTACTAACATTCACAAAAAGAGGTAAGATCAGTGCAGGTTAACTGTCCTTAAAATTTCAGCAGTGCAGCATAACATTAAGTGCTATTCAGGTCATCTGGTGAAAATTCTAGTATTTTTTAATATCGCAATATATATCGCAGGGTTGAAAAAAATCGCAAAGTTAGTTTTTTCCAATATCGTGCAACCTTAGTACAAACTGAATCAAAGTAATTTATCACAGAGAACAGTGATGTGCTCGTAGTGTTAGCATTGAGTGTAACTTATCAGACAGCAAAATGTGGTCACAGTCTGTCCTTTTCCGTCCCAGTTTGAAGACAGTATTCCTTTCTAATGAGCTTAAACGCTGATTAATTCAGTTTCATGTTTTGAAAAGGTTTTTCTCTGAAGTTAATTTTTGAGACCGTGCAGTTCACAGGGGGCAGCAAGCTGAGCTGCTCCTTCAGTCAAGAGTGAGAATTTAATTAGAGGTTCTTCTTCTCCTCTGTGATCGAAAGTTCCATGTTAATAATCTGTGTTTCTGATAGTCTCCTGAAAAGTATAAAACCTAGAAAACCAAAAGCATGAAGATGTGTTGTAAAGTAATTTAAATGCATATGACACAAAGCATATACTAGACCAGTCAAATGAGCCATTTAAAAGTTTTTAAAAATAAATATATCATTGAAAAATACAATGGTGTTGGAGAAACTAAAAAACAAACCAACAGTCTTTTTCTCCAGACAGAATTTTAAGTTCTGTCTAGCCTTTCGTTTTACAAAAGGTTTAACTTGAGCAGGACCATTAACAGAAAGTAAGTTCCCTCACTGAGGTCTAACCCTGACATGGAACCAGCTTTTAGAGATGTGGTACAGTGTGTCGGGGGTTAAGTCAAAAGAACCAGTGGGGCCTCATTGATCAGCAACTCGAACTTTCAGAAAAACAATAAACTACTTGAGCTATTACTCAAATACGCAAGACAAACATACCACTCTGTCTGTCATAGGGCAATTGGGTGTAGCATTCAGTAAAACTGCGGTGGATAAAGAATAATTTGATCTGGATACTTTCAGATCATCAAGGTATCATGAAGCAACATATTGAAGCTAGGGCCTTATTTATTTCAAAACATGGTGACAGCTCCTCTCATGTTATTATGTTGATCTTCAGCTGAAACCAACCAAGCTTTAAACCTACAGCTATTTGCAGGTATTTTTCAAAATCATTCACCAATAATAAATAAAACCAGATACAGACCTGCAGACTGAGTGTGCTGGTGAGGTTTGCCGTGGGCAGTGAGATGGACACACTGGTCACATTTGTCTTTTCCAGCCACTTTGAAAGCAGCTCAACGGTCAGGAGCTTCTCCAACCTTGCCAGACTCTTAACATGGAAGGGCAGCAGGAACACAATGCTTGCCTTTCCTCCCCATAGAGGCACCTCCAGGACCTGCACCATGTTTTCAATGTCTTCATAGTTATGGTACAAACCTGAAGGAAAGGGCAGGTAGAAGATTGGGATGAAGAAAACAGAGTTAAGAAGAGGACAAGAGCTGAATGCAACACATTTCCTTTGAAGGTTGGAACAGACAGACATAAAAAAACAGGAGAAAACACAACAAGGTTAAATCCGACCCATTTAAACACTGTGTAAATGCATATGTAGACAGGATTTGAATTGAATAAAGTCATTGAATAAAATTGTAATGAATTAGAAATGCCTCTGTAATATAATATTAAGCAAAATACTCCCAATCCTTCCTCCATGGTTTCTGCTTTGCTGTTGTTTTAAGACAATTCGTAAAATATGAAAAGCACATTAAATAAGTCATAAGGTACACAGTGATAAATAGTAGGGAAGCAGATTGGACCTTACAGATGTTCCAGCCATTTTAGGATTAAATTGCTTTTTGCCGCACTTATTTTCTTGGATGGAGAACAACTGCAACAGACTGTGTGTGTGTTTTTTTTTTTACCTGCTCTGTGCATCATCATCACTTTGGTGTATTTCTTACCCAAGAAAGTACAAAGGTCTGTGCTCTCCTTGCTGAACTCTCTCTCCCACAGCCATGAACAAACAGCCAAACAAACATTGGGGATGGATTCATCATGGATACTGTATACTCGACTTGGAAAGGATGTTAAAGAAAATACTGAATAATTGATGAAGGTGAAAAGGTGGACATTAGGTTAAACAAAGCCGTGTTCATAAATACAGATAGACCTGATGCGCAGTGACACTGGCTAAAAATGCTTACAGTTCATCAATGTCTACAAGCCACTGAAAGATGTCTCCTAGCTGTTCCCAAAACTGCTCAGTAGAGAGTCAAGTTGGACCCATTACTCGGCCGTCCGATTACGTGCGCTGATTTTTGGCATTATGAATTTATCCACGTGCGCACCAGCCTTCACAAGGCTAATATCACAATTATCTACACTCAATTAAATATGCTATTTAAATTCAGTTCTGGTATATAGAAAAATATGGTTTGGTATTGCTTTTGACATGTAGCAGTGATGTTCAGGAATCTATAGCATGCCCCTCTGATTTTCTTTTTCCATTAATTCATTACAAATCCATTTGAATCATGATGCAAGCTAAAACAACCATGAGCATGAGAATGTGATGTGCATGGAGTAATGGAATTACACATGATTTTCTTCTTTTATTTTCACCACAATGTCCCCCTTGTCTTTTTTTTTTTATATAAATTCAGTCCAGAAGTCTGTTCTGATGATATTTCACTGAGACAAATATTGCCTCCTCTAAACTTATTTCATGAAAGGTCCGCTCAAGAAAAGCAAATTGTACTTACTGTTAAATTGTTCTTCTTTGTATAATGCAGACAAATAACAATATCATATCAGCATTTTATATCGGCTATTTGCTCTCCACTGTCATTATCAGTATTTGCAGAGGCCATTTAAAAAGGGATAGTGGTGCTAAACCCCTGACAGCTGTCAATTTAGGAGAGGCTAAGAGCAGTGGAATTACAACTGTAATAACCTCACAACACTGTCACAAAGTTGCTGGTCCCCATTCAATAGTGCAGAGAACACTGTATCGAACCCATAGACTGTATATAGAATGGACAGAGTCTGCCTCCTCGCTGGGTGAAGCCACTCTGAGAACAGCACCCTCTGTTGATGGGCTGCAGTATAGGTCATAAATCCCACTTCCGCCAGCAAAGCTTATGGGGCTGTTGACAAACTTTAGAAATGTATTACACAGAACATACATTTTTCTCCCCACTCCTTGTGATGTTGACATATAGTCACTGTAAGACTGGTTTGTGCTCAAGTCCTCTTTTTTCTGTGAAGCTCCGTTTTTAAAAGTTATTAGGGGGTTCATGTTTTCTATGATTGACACCTGATACAGCCTATGGGTGTTCAGGGATTGTGTAGCTCAGCCGGGGGATACGCTGTTTGAGCCGAGCGTCATCACAGCGACTCTCAGCAACTGCGCGGTCGAATGCGCGCATCGCTACTGCGCAGCGCTGGTTTCAGGAAATGAAGAAAATTCCCAGAAATATTGAGCTTTTTGGCTTCAAATCCATATAGAGGCGGTAGGCAGAACCAAGTTGTCCATAGAATATACAGTCTATGATCGAACCAGAAGGTCAAAAGATCATGACTTGGACTCTTTGTGAATAACACCCAAAGCTGTTTTGGGCCACAAATAAAAATTATTTTTTATCATTGATTAAACATTTGATAAAGAACATTCATTGTACAGTACCAAGGTGCAAGTTTTGTGATGACTAGCCTTACCAATATACTTACAATGGGACATAGGCTGAAGAGCCTTGTAATTCATTTTATGTTATAAATAACCCATTACTCTCAAAATATCCCAGAATGATAAAAAAAAATAATACCCATAAACTGAATATCAGCTGATCATACTCACTAAGCTGAGTGTCGCTGAGGCTGCTGGGAAAGTCATGAGTTTTGCTGGTAAACATGAGCTTAAGCATACACATTTTGTTTAAAAGTAAACCTGCAGCTGATGGCAGAAAACCTGACAAAGTTAAAATAGTTTATCTTTCAGATTATTCAGAAATTCAATAACTGTTTGGATGATGTATCAACTAAAATTAAGGATTATCAACTATATGATTACACTAAATGAAAAATAATATAAACGAGATTCATGATGTCAGGGAGCACACGTGTTGTGTTGAAATACACATCCCACTACATCATTTTAAGGTACATGTGCAGCAACTATTAAAACAATAAAATTCACACACCAATCATAATGAAGCACAACAGAATGCAACCTGATTCTACACAGTGTGATTTGATGTGATATGATGTGATTTAATGATACAAAGTTACAGTGCAATTCAATGAGCTTCTTTATTTATGAATCAAATAAAATCATGAGCTGTTACAAACTAGTCCTTTCTTTAAGTTCTGTCCAAGTGTTTTGTGTGTTTGAAGTTTACAGGACAGTACATTTTTACTACACCTCAACACAGAACTACAGACACTCAAGATTAATAAGAGTATTTAAGTGTAAGTGTTACCTCTATTTTATGAACAACAAAAAAACAAGATAACCTTTCAAAAAAAGGTCTTTACTGTTACAATTGGAAGAAAAAAAATCATCTTGAATTAAAAGTCTAAGGCTTGAAATCTGTACAAATAAAGACGGCTTTGCTGTCACTTATTGACTTTGACCAGAAGGAGTCACTAGCCTGCAGGGCATGGAAAAACTAGCAGTACTTCACTCACTACTCTTGGGTCTTATTGCTGCAGATGAACCCAAACCAGAGGGGAACACCAGGACACTAGTAGATGTTCCACAGTCACACCACCTAGCTACTTCAGCTAGGTGGTGTGACTGCTACTTCATTAAGAGCAGCACAACAAATTTAGCAAACTGCATCTGATTAGTCAAGTCACCAGTCCCTCTGCAAACACAGTAGTGTTCCCTGTTCTCCAATACAGGAGTTAATATTCCAAACTCAACTAAACATAACATGGGTCAAATGCAGGAGGAATTGAATAAAAGTAAAAGACAAAATATCTGATTACTGTAACCACCACATTTCTAAGTCAGTGGATGCAACATCTAGTCCCAAATAGACTGATTTTTACTAACTGGCAACCTCCAGTTTTGAGAAATAAAGCTAATGCAGAACTGCATAAAACATCAGTTCTCTGGGTGTCTGCTTGAGGCTGGCTGCAGAAGCACCAAAACCCGCAAACGCTCTGAGCCAAAACAGCCAGTTCTCAGAGCAAGAATAAACTCGTCAACAGCCTGGTTCCATCGGTGAACAGCTAACGTGACTGACAGGCAGGCACACTGTAGCCATGTAAGGGGAGGGTAAAGGTCTACCTCTAATCTGCTGACCGAATGTTTGATTGAGAAAGTATAATCAATATGGCGACCGCCACTGATTGGCTTCAAAACTCTGCTTTAGAAACAAATGGTTAATGTCACTGATGCAACATCTAGTAATTATACAGTCTGTGGTTTAAACAATGCATCTAGATTTCATTCAAAAATTGTATTTTTACACAGCTGCTTTAGCATTGCACTTGCCCCGTGTTTGCATGTACTCATGTATGGATGTGAATCGTTCAGTCTCCCCATCCCTACAATGTACAGGGTGTCTGGTAGGTGTTGAACTGTTTCACTATCTGCTGAATAAAAAAGAAACACATGACTCCGCTGCTTGAAACAGTTTACAAGTAGCCTTCACAACAAAATGGAAAATCAAACATGAAGTAAAAAAATAAACTTCTTGGAATTCTTCAAATTCCTGCATGTATGTTTTCAACTCTAACAGTAGCTTTCCCCAAAGACCACCCAGCCCCCCTGGATCTCAGCCTATCACAAGTAACAGCAAAATGACACGCAAGTTTCCCTTCCAGACATGTTGGTGCAAGTCAGTCAGTCACTTTGCTTCCTTTAACATCAGAGAGTGTAATGTGATCACATTGGAATTTTACAACTGGCTGAAGGTTACCTGAAGTGGCAGCCATGCTGTTGAAAACATACCACAATGATGAATAATTTCCACACAGTGTGTGCATACTTCAATGTAAAGGAAGGAAGTGAGATTTCATGACCTCACCAGTCAGACGGTTGATCTGTGTGTGTGTGGCACTGTGAGCTTGTGTCTAGACATCAGAGATTGTTCAGGTTTTAATGACATTATCTTATTTTATAGGACACAGCAAAGACATCAATAAAAACTAGAATCCATTCAAATCTATCAGCATAAAAGAATGAAACAATTACACAGCAAAGAAATCCAATCACTGAGATCAGATCTCCTCTGTTCCTACTGTAAACTTAGGGCGAAAACCAGAAAAGAATCAATGAGACTGACTTGCTCCCTCTCATCCCTCATCAACTTTTGATTACAAGGAGTTGTGGTGTTTCAGAAGCTATTATTCGAGGTTAAATATGTGGGGACTTGTTGTTCTCTCCAACTTCTCTCTGACTTTTATTTCCTCCTGTAGTTGCCCATGTATTTGTGCTATCTTGTGTGTGAGTTCGCTCTGTTGCTTTTTCCCCCTTCACAATCTTATTTTTTTTCTTCTGTCTCTGGTGTTAGTTTAGTCTAAAACAGGAACAAAGCCTGAATTAATTAACTAATGTGGACTGGAACTCCCAAGGTAGGTCTTTTCCATCCCTCTACCATGTCTGTCAATCTTTTATGCTCTCAGCAGGCCACCTTCTCTTCTCTTTTCTCCATTTTTAATCTGTAGGTTTCCCCCTTCTTTTCCTGCCCTGTATCTCTTTGTCCAGAAATCTCTTATTGAACAACTCTTTTCTGCAGTCCTTTTGCTATTCTCTGTGTTACTTGTATCTTTCACAACCTTACACTCTATTTATCTCCTCTGACCTTCCTTTTCTTGAATCCAGTTAACAGTCTTACCAAAAGCTGTACACTGCTGCGTAAGAACTTTTATTCCCAACAACAAATGACAGGAAACAAAAGTGGAGCCAACTAAAACAGACGATGAGGCAAAACCCTTTTCATTCCCAACAGAATTTCAGCACAACCTCTAAAACCTTAATACTATTGCACGCTGTGAACTGCCTTAGCACGCTCAAATTGAAAGACAATAGAAAGTTCCAATAACCCAGAGGCAGCTTGTAAGAGCAGGAGGCAAACTATCGACCACTTTTAAATTATGAGTCAAAACTAAAGAAATCCAATTTTCAGTAATCTAATTTGTGTGCTGCAATCTGCTGTATAATCTAATTTGTATATTTCCTCCACAAAATTAATGAATCAACCAACGAGGGTCGGTTCACAGAAAAACTAATTTTGTAATGAAGTCAAACATCAAACAAAGAAAATTAATTAAATTGCTTATCAAATATATAGTCTGTCAGGGAATGTTACTTTCAAAAGACTGTCTATCTGTTGGCATCCTGTATTCACTTCAGCAGCATTGCCTTTTTGCAGGAATAAAAAGAATACCTGCAGGAGGAAACAGCAGGAGAAGAGGCAGATAGAAGCAGATAAGGATGTGAACAGGAGACGAAGAAGAGGATGAGGGGACAGGGGCAGATTAGACACAAGATGAACAATGACAAAAGCACAAAAAGTGACAAATGCCACAAAAAGAACGAGTGAAACAGGAGGCTATATTTAACACATCATCTTTTGTGAAGAGTGCAAACAAAAATTAGATTCTACATCAGCAGGCAAACGCTGGCTGTGCTTTAAGAAAGAGGGAGATGGTAGATAAAGTTCCTGGAAGTTGACATGAAAATGGAAAAATGAAGCTATGTGATAAGTCTTTGATGTGAATAAAAAAAATACTAAAACCCTTTCTCAACCATATAAGGTCAAGTATGTGTCCTTTAAAAAGGGTTGGGTGTGTACAAATGGGAATATTTAGCAATATCTAGAGGTTAGATCCCATATTAAATCATCCCCTTCTCAATCCCTCCCCTAAAGCAACAGTGGCCATAGAGGACAAGAAGCTCCTGGGAGAAGTATGATCCTCCATTTGTCAAGTTTTTACCATAAAAAAATTCAAGTAATCAAAATTATTTTGCACATTACAACAGTGCATGTCAGACAGCCACTCACTACACACAAAAACACAAATGGAAGAGAAGTTAGTTTGTTTTATAATATTGTAGGAGGATGGTAGTGCAAGATGGTTGTCTCTGATGACGGGGACCTGCTTGTCTAAATAGCAGAAGTTTGTTCCAACTTTACAATTAAGAAACAAACATTTTAATACTCCTATTGTATAATACTTTAAGGTAATTAAACACTCATTTAAACATATAAAGCTCATATTCCATTTCTACAAGTCTTCAAAGCAGCTAAATGCTCAACACTGCACATTCAAAGGCCTGACAATGAAGAATAAAAATGAATTTTTAGATAAGAATAATATGAACATGATTTTGGGCTGCAACTCTTAAAGACAGATGGGGCCACTAACTACAGCATCTAAAATGAAACGCTGACTAGTTTCCACCACTGCAGACCGTCACAAAGAGCTGAACTGAGCCAAGTTGTGCTGCTGCAGACGTGGAGTGCTCCAAGCACAGATGTTAGGCATGACACCAAGGGAGAGAGTCTGGACACTTGTTACTCAATTATTTAAGATGACACATCACCCCCAATGGAAGATGAATAAGCTCTCAGTGATGGACCCCAGAATCATTCTTTATCTGCTGTGTCCACCAGCTGGAGTCCAACACGCATGCACACACACAGAAACAGGCAGACATGCACACTGGTGGGCATGCTGGCACACACAATGTAGAAGGCAAACTGGCGTGGAAGCTCTCACTGCTGTCTGAACACTGAAAAGGGTAAACTTGGAAGACTTCTCATGCAATAGCACAAAACATCAGTAATGAGACATTGCATAATTACAAATGACTCCACAATTGCAGAGCACAGCAGGCTATTTTAGCATGATTCAGTCCAGTCCAGCCTCCATGTAGCATGTTTGCAACCAATCAGCCATGCTGTGTAATAAAATATTCAGTTGGCTACAGGGTAATTTAATGTTCGTCCACTTTTGTATGACTATTCTCTCACATTTTTCAAATAATATCATATTTTAGATGATTTCATTATCCCAGGGCCCTGACAAGTAGCTCTGTGTGGACGCCTGTCTGCTTCTGATTTTTTTTTCACAAAAAAGTAACATGTTCTTTTACAGGATTAGTATTTTCAAAACAACAGCCTTGTTGGAAGCCGGAAAGAAGGATCTCTATTCATGCTGGTGTGGCGTACTCACCCCTGAAACGCACTGCATTGGCCAGGAAAAGTGCACCAATCTTAGCCTGGATTTCAGCCGCTAAAGGAGCTCCCTCAAGCCCACCAAGCCCAGTTTTAGCCCAGCTATGGACCTGCTTCAGGTCAGCCTTGAAGTCTCCTTTTGCGAGCAGCTGATGCTGCACTCTGAATCTAGTCTTGCTGTCCTTAACAAAGTCCTGGTTGAGCTGAGGGGTATTCTTGGAGAACAGAGCTGAGGATGTGTGCAGGTGAAAGCTGGACCCATTAGCTTCAATGAAGCGCTTTAGCATCCCAGAGAGAACCAGACCAGAGTCAGCCTCATTCTTGGCTGGAGAGGGGGTCTTCAGGAGGTCTTGGAGTTGGCTTGCAGTGGTGCCTGTTGACCCATCTTCCAGAGCAGTGAGTGAGGAGGCCACAAGCAGAGGGGAGAAGAGGGTGTTCACAGAGCTGGGATCTGTGCAGAGGCCCTGGTACAGGCGCAGACCCAGGGCCCAGCTGGGGTCACTGAGAGGGGCAGGGGGCGATTGGGGGGCTGGCAGCAGGACTCTTCTTGGATGAATCTGCAGTGCTGGCCTGCACTAGGAGAGCTGGCAAAGAAATGAGGATATAGAAAGGAAGTCTGGGCAGCATGGCAGCTGTGGGGAGAGCACAGAGAGACGAGCTTGTTAAAAGATAACGTGTGCCTATGAAAGTGAGAGCTTCCTCATTTTTATACTGCACATGATAACTCTGTGAGATGAATTTTTTTTCTTGAAAGATTTCAAACAGAGTAATAGCTGCTCACGCTGTTATTACACCGTTCATATTTGAGATAAAGCAATATAAACACAGCCTAAGGATTCTCTATTTGCTGTAAAACTCCTACTCACAAACAGCAGCCTCTGCTCATACATTGCCACAGCAGTAAACCTGATTTTGTAAATTCCTCTCCACTTGACAACACGGTTATTATCTCACCCGCTGTGCCAAAACCCGAGTGTGACAATTAACTTCGATGAAGTTTCAAAAGAAGCTTTTCAGAGTCGAGACGAACAAGTGGCTGAGGAGCAAAAAAATACCCTGGCTTACACACATACACCCTGATTTATTCGTTGAACCGGTGACAGGAGTGACGGGAAAAATTTGTCCGGTTCTGCCTACTTCTGCTGTGATATCCGAACACTCCCCGGCGAAAAAGAAATATGGAAAGGCGTATTTGTTCAAGTTTACCGTTAATTAATTCAAGATTATCCCTCTCCTCCTGGTCTCGTGTTAGCTACGAGCCTCAGAGGACGTGGGGCTTGGATTGGGCTGTGTGGGCTCAGACGTGGCAGCTCTCAGGGGAAGTTAACCGCCTCCCCTTAACTTTCTCTCCCGGACGGCGCACTGCTTTTCCCGAAGCTTCAGTTGTATCTGCTGGGAGAAAACTGAGCGCTGTGAGACGCTGTAGGGTTGAGGGTTTACCGTATATGGGATAACCGAATGTTTTCATCTAAAATACGTATATGTCCACATTTAGGAGCGGTAGTATAAGCAGTACAAACACTCACATCGAGTTAAAGAGAAAAAAAAAAAGTGTCATGTAAGTCAACTTGTTTATGGATGTCGCCCTGAGGTTGAACTCTGCCTTCTTGGTTTATGTATTTCCTCGTTTTGTTGAGTTATTACTTAAAAGCTATCAAGGTAAAATACACTTATGATAGTTTGCTTGTAAATCAGATAATGAAAGCCTTAAAGTGGTGAAAAATACACCCTGTGTTCCTGTGGTCTAATGTCAGCCGTGGCAGCTGGTTTATGCAAGCATTATACATTTATGCTTTGCTAAACCGTAATTAAAAACTACAAAACCCCAGTAAGGCTATGTTTTGGCTGTTTCCTGTGAGTTTAGCTACTATAATATGCATGTAATTTTGGGTCTGGTTTGGGATTTTCAAAGAAAAAAAAACCCACAAGTTGCAGTAAATGAAGCGTTTCTACATACATTTGTAGGCAAGCTTTGCAAGTCTGTTTAGATAATAAACTCCCTTGCTCTTGGCTCAGTGGGAGTTGTAGTTCCCTAAGCCATTCAAGCGGGGTCGCTAATGGTCTTTCCATTGCCTCAGCTCAGTGACCCTGTGTGTGAGCCAGTGCATCCCTAGCTTGACACCCTGCCCCCTTCTGCGGATGGGAGACGGTCAGAGCCAGCAGGAAGATGAGGTCTGGTCCTGGCAAATCCCTCTGAGGAGTTTTTCTTCTTAGTTATGATTCCGTTTGAAATCATTTAGCATTTTGGGATGTTAATTGGGGACTGGGAAGTAACACTGTGAAAACAGTAGTGTCTGTTAGATTTCTTTCTTTTTTTTTTTTTTTTTTAAGGCTAGGATATTTGCACAAGACCCCCCCCCCCCCCCAAAAAAAAAAAAAAAAAAAAAAGCTCCCAGTTCACCTCACCTAGTGGCTGTACTAATGTTGGCTACTGTCAAGGAAAAATAGGTCAGACCGTGCAAGCCTGCATTATGTCTGACCCCTGCCTTTCCCTTACAGCAGAACAGGAAGTGGAGAGCAGATAACCCAAAACAAAAATGTCTCTAGGAAAGGGATTATAGCCCAAATTGAAGGATGGAGAATGACCATATAGGGTCTTAATCAATAAATGTAGAGATTGACTAAGGAGACAAGAAAAGGATCAGAGAAGGATATGGAGGAAGATAACTGCTCGAGACCACCAATGCTCAGCAATCAGGCCGAACATGACAGCTTGTAGACCCAACCAATTATTTACCCCAGCCAAATCAATAGAGCTCACTACACAAGATAACCATCAGCAGCACTATCTGGAACACATTCACAGCAGAAAGCACAAACACACTCCGCTCGCTGCCACTTTCACTCACTCACTGTCTTTTGGAAACACACACATACACACCCATATTTTCCTTGCAGATCCTCAGTTATCAAGCTTCCTTGGAAATAAGACACGACCCATCTAATTATTGGACATCTCCACTGACAAAAGAAACATTCAAACAGTGTATGTCTAACCAAATGGACATTTAAAAGAAGAATACACATACGCTCCTCACACACATGGGTTAATGATGTCTGCACAGGCAGACGGCGCATTACGTGTTTGTGGTGGTGAGCTGATATGTGCAACCGCTGAGGTCTTAACCCTCACCAGAAGAGTCACCACCCCCTTCTGGGACCCTCCAGGACCACATCACAGTCAGTCTCGTCAGTAATGTGTGGCGACACACGTTACAGCACAGGTGAATCGTATATGAAACACAGCATGCGCTGCAGTCAAACGAGTCCCCTGGGGTACTGGTGGGGAATCTGGGAAGAAGCTCAGTCAGCAGTTTGTGCATCAGGGAATTTTTTCAAGGGATACACTTTAAAAGCCTTTTGGTATATACCCCACCCCACACCAGCCCACCTGCACCCTGCACAGTTCACACTCACCTCCCAGCACCTTGTCCAGTCCTTGAGCTCTGACTCAGCTCTCCAGCTTTAGATGTCACGGTTCATGGCAGTAAAGTTGCATTTCACCTCACATGTTATCCTGTATGTGGCTGTTGGCCATTGTTCGCAGCCATAGTGGAGGTTAAATGCCAGTGGCTCAAGGGCTAGAAAACAGAATCAACACCACATTGAAGCTATGACCACTGCCAAGTGGCCTAGAGCTATATCCACCTGTCCAGGGCCTATTCTTGCTCTTCTTTTCTCTACATTCCTCCTGAACACACTTTCACAGTTTTATACATAAGATATAGCCTTTATTTGATCCTCTACTCACTTCCTCTTCGCTCTGTATACAATGGCCTGAATAAGATATTTCACTTAGCACTATATTAGTGCTGCCTTTTTAAACTTTTTCACTCAATATAGATTTGTCTTTCCCATCCTTCCTTATCCATTCACCCCTGTGCTTTTAGCAAGTTTTAGCTGTTACCTCCATACACCTCCTACCTATGGGGCTTCACAGTCACACACATCTTATCTCCTCTTGTCTTTCCGGAGAGTAGCATTTCTAAGCTGGCACATGAAGCAAACAGAACACATTTACTGTAAAAATTCACAGAAAACTTCAACAGAAACTTTCCTTATGAATATGTTAAAATCTCCTCCTACAATGCTCTTTCCTCTCCCTCCCTTTCCGCCACCTTCTCTTACTCACTGTCAACCCATTTCCTCTCTGCCTCTCACCTCTTCTCATTCCTTCACCCTACTCCTACTCTTTTCCCATCTCTCCACTGCTCCTTCTCCCTTTCCAACACCATCTAAATCACTCCTCATCTCTCTGTGTCTCTCAGATTTTGGAGTCAGTACAGAACAAACAGCATGTAACATGTGAGCACCCGTTCTCAGCAGTTCTGGTCTGCCTGTCTGTCATCAGCTCTGGCCCGTTTCAACTTCCAGAGAGCTAGATCAGGCCCCGTCTGGTCAGACACACGGAAGTCCTCTTGGTTTATATCAAGTTCTCTTGTGTTCCATTTAAATTAGGACTCTTACTTAATGTCTGGCAAAACTGCTTAACTGATACCAGAATTTTTTCTGGATCATGACCTTAACTTCAGCTTCATCCTGGCTTAAGAACTCCAACCACAGCCGACTAAATAAAAGCAGTGTAGCAGTGTTTGCTATCAGAACAATCTCAACATGAGTGTTTGGTAGACTGAGAAAGGCAAACAAAAGTAAAAACAGATTCCAGTGCATTGCACTAATTTCTGAATTGATTAAAAAAAAAAGTGGTTAGGTCTGCTTTACTGAAGATCTAAAAATACTCGTTTGGATAGGGTTTAAGGAATGGGAGATGAATGTGTCCCCTGACTGGGGTGTTTTTTTCCCCCTGCTTGAATCTAGGGCAAAACTTTGGAAGGCAAAATGAGGTATGGATGGACAGATGGAAAGAAGGGAGTGTGTGTATTTAATCGATGCAGAGGAAGAAAGAGGGGGCTGCCTCAGAAAGGTGACGAGTATCAGTGGCGGTTGAGGTCAGGGGGAACATGCCGAACAGGGCTAAATTACAGACACATCTGCTGTTCATCATGAATGTTTCCAATAAGCATTGAATGTTTGTTTCCTCCAGTCGTAAAAATCTACCAAGTTGTCAAGGGGGGTGGGTGTTTGATTTTCTTTGTGTGTGAAGGAAGAGATGGTCTCTCACCTCCTTTTTTTTGTCTAGACATTTCGATAAATTACCCAAATGCACACAAGTACAAAAGCAAATGTACCCTTCTCCACGGACACACATCTACTCTCAGGAAGGAAGGCAAATAAGTGGCTTTTAATGTGCTTGGTGACTCAGGCAGAAAAGCAAATGCCAAGCACCCACAAGAGTACACAGCTGCCTCAAGTAAGTGTTGACAACTATCTTTATAGGAATTAAATATTGCTCTCCTCACCACCCTGAGTAACCGCCAAACACCTGTGACTCAGATCACTCAGGCTCAAACTCCATGACATTAAATCAACATGTTTGCCTTTTGATGCATCACGCTGAACTCATATTAAATGTGCTACACATGCAACCACATACACACAAATGCACCTAAGGCTGTCAGAAATATGGACACACACCTTCAAAAGACAGATAGGCTGACACCCCTCACCCACCCACACACACGCACACACTCACACAAGTTATATCCTCTGGCTGTGAGTTTGCCAGCAGTACCAGCTGGTACTGTCATGTCTGATAGGCTGGAACAGAGACAGAGAGGAGGCCGGGAGAGGAAAGAGGGAAGGAGGGAGGCAAGCTGGGAAAATGTCTACAGCAGAATGCATTAGTAAGACTGGGAAAACTGTATCAAACCCAGGCTACTCATTACACTGTCTCATTCGGGTCCATGGGGAGTTCTCCCTCTGTGTCTTATCACAGTCCGTTAAACTATATGACATGTTTTTTTGCCTATCCCCTTCCATTTTTAACTGC